GAATGGATCATTTCTGAACTTCCGGTTGGCCCATTGGGGCCATTTTTCGCCCTCCCCACCCTCCGGAGGCTTTCCTGAAGCCTGGAGAGGGCAAAAACAGCCTCACACGGCCCTCCAGAGGCCCCCTGGAAGCCAGAAATGATCATTTCCAAACTTCCGGTTGGCCCATTGGGGCTGTTTTGTGCCATCTCCGGCCTCTCAAGGCTTTCCTGAAGCCTTGGGAGGGCAAAAACCAGTCCCAACAGCCAAAGCAGAATTTCAGAAACAATCTGTTTCTGGCTTCCAGAGGGTCTCCGGGAGCCGTTTTTGGCCTCCACAGGCTTCAGGAAAGCCTCCGAAACCTGGGGAGGGGTCATGCGTGCATGCACAAGGGGACAGGTCATGCACATGTGGGGGGTGCAGGTCACACACACATGCACAGGTGGGCAAGGAGGATTGAGTGGGCACATCTGTGGATGTGATAGTGTGCATGCAATTTTGGCACGCAGTAAGAAAAAGGTTCGCCATCACTTCCTTAGATGCATCACACCTAAAATTGTGCCACCCCCTAAACTAGAAGAAGTATAGGCCATTTCTTTCTCTTCGTCTTTTGAGGTGTCTTCATATATTGTTCAAACTATGTATCTTGTTTTTATTTTCTTTTTCCTCTTGGGCCCAAGTTACCTCATACAGCATAGATTACAGTGTTCCTACTCGTAATCTTCCACTTCCTGAACAACATTCATCCACTCAGCTGCCTTTCTGAGCAGAGGGGGATACTTTCTCAAATTCTTTTTTATGGAAAAACTTGAAATTTTATGTGGATCTTAAGCCTCCTTTACCACCACCCTTCCAAAAAAGGTTTTGTAAGTTACAGTCCCTTGTGTTTTATTTCAGAGTTATTTTCAGGTTTATTGAACAAATAGCAGTGCAAATCTGAAAACAGAATACCTGAACAGTACCAATTCCCTGAAACCAAACATCTTTTATACATCCTTAGTGAGGCTCACCTCCCTTTTCAACATTTGTTTATAATATGCAGTTAATAAAAAATGAATACCTTGAGATCCAATTAATTTCTTCATAAAACGCAATATCTATTTGTGTATCCTGGTAAATGTGTACATTTAGCAATGAATGAGAGAAATTCAAATTAAATGTGGTCATTGACAAAGCACTTGGTTAGCTTGCTAATAAATGTTAGCATTTTTCAATTCAATTCCCCATCTCTCACAAATGTTACAAATTAGAGCATGTCGAATTTTGGATCTTGGCTAGAGCATCTCCTTGGCTCGTATTGTGGCATGTCTGTGACTGCTGTTTCTCAGTGATGCCCCCCCCCCAATTTTGAAAATGTCAGATTGCCTTATTTGTTTCAGAACTATGATTTTTCCTCCCTATGGCAGCTCTTTTGCACCTTCTGCACAGGTGGGATTTGTTGTCTTTTAAAAAGACAAAATGCAATATTGCATTGTCAGAGCGGGTCTGGGTGAAACTGATAAGAGATAAACAGACCACTGGACAGGAAAGGCTGAAGCAAAGCTAAGGGACTAATTCTTTACTTTGCAGTTTCAGAAGTCAGCCATGATAATTCAGGGAGAGAGGCGGCCATGGTAGTAAGCAACACTTTTCTGATTTGCCTGTTCAGTCAAAACATGAGAAGCATTTCAACATGTACAGCATAGATTACAGTATTCCTACTCTTAATCTTTTATCGCAATTCAGCTGTAGCACATTCTAGGCAATCAAAATAGAAAATGGCTTAGTACATAAAGTTTGGCTTTAGTATATTATGGCCTTAGTTCATTAAGTTAGTGAGAACATAATGATTTGCATTTGAATAAAACATACCTTTGTTGGAGATACTGAATTTATCTGAAAGAAGGGTGAATTTAGGACAATTTTGGTGCCATATTGATCTGGAAAAAAATAAAAATGTAAATGATTTTTTTCATGTAAAAGAATGTTCCCCCTATTATGACATATTTAGTTAATCTAAAGATGCTGTTTCTTTAGAAAGTCAACTTTTTAAAGGGGAAAATAATATTCCTTTTGGGTACGTGGAATGAAGTAGGAAAAATTGGGATTAAATTAATTGGTAATACAGTTGTTGGTTTCTGTGAACTCAGATTTAATTTTGCAATGCAAAATAAATTCAAGAAAGATACATCTATGTACAATTAAAGCTCTCATTATGACCTTTAAGTGTGTGAAACAGTGCATCATAGGCAACAATGTTACCTCAGTTTACAGAATACATCTAAAATCTTGGACTTATGACTCTGGAGGGAATAAAATTAGGGAAAGTTGTAGCTGATTCAGTGCTACCGGTGGCTCTGCTGCATTGCTGGGCTGCTTCTGTGATCACATAATCTTCATTTTCAATATTCTGTGACAGTTTCCAAGCCTCTCTTGCAATCCCTTGCTTCCTCTTCCACCCAGTACTAGTCATTTACTTGTCTATTGGGAAGGGAAGGGAAGGAAAAGGAAGGGAGATTTCCAATGCTTCTTACCAAATTCCCACAAGAAAACTCAATGGAGAAATTGGCCTTTTCCTTGTTCCTGCTCACATTGCTTTTTTGCCTGAGGTAAGAAAATATCTTTGAAATGATCGCTCTTAAGGTTATCTAATAGCATTTATAGATGAAGTGCTTGTTTACTGAGAGTTTATATTTGAAGGAGTTCTAGAAAAAGAGGAGAGAATGGTTTGCTCACCTGTCAGAATGATCTCTCTGTTTATATTCTGTAGGCATTGGTGGTGCATTTTGAGGTGCCAATGATGAGGGTGCTGGATTCATTGAGTTTTAAAAATATACTGATGGGCTGCACAGGGCTGCTTTTGCGCCTCATGCTGTGCAGTCCTGAACTAGTTTCTTATGAAATCACCTTGGGGAGGAAACATTCTCCAAGTTGAGACATTGGCATGAAAATTCACACTTTTAAATCTCTGCATATTTATATTCCTTCCCAGCATTTGGTTTAAGACAACCTTAATTTTATAAGGAAATACATTTTAGTTCTTGCTGAACTGTTTGTTTGTTTTTTGGTCTGTATTTTTAGTCTGTTTCTAGCCTGCCTGGATATTTTACATGTTTGTCACCCTTAGTCTCTGCTTAGTAAATTACAATTCATGTAGCATTCTGTGTTTAATTGATATTATTATGGTATAGTTGTATCTTTTATCTACATTATCCTCAGGGTTATAGAATTATTCTTAAGATGAATGAATATATAATATTGATAATACATAATATTGATGCTTCTAATGATCTTAGCTCTGCATGTTTTTTTAAAAAATAGCTGTTGTATTAATGGGTTAAGTTTGTTTTATCTTTGTTTGTTCCCTTGTATTCCTCACTTGGAGAACAATTTGTTACAGGAAACTATAAATAAGGGAATGCCAAGTGTGACAAATGGCAACTAGAGACCAGAGAACACGAGGAAAAAAAAGTTGTATTGCTCAAAGATGCAATCTTTCCTTTGGAAAGGGGGAGGGCAGGGTTTTACAACTTTATTCAAAATTATTTGCAAAGTGTGCAAACGTAGTTTCAGTTGGCATTTGACTCCCATGTAATATTGATATCAAAAACACATTGAAATATTATCAGTCATTATCGATATGTGAGTGTGTGACAACAGAATATCCTTCCTTCTCTCATATTTAAAAGAAGGCTGCTTTGTCTTGATCAGAAAAGAAGACTGGACCATATCAAAGTGACATTTCTACAAAAATACACATACAAACAACATGCTGTAGAGTTTGGAATATTCTGGAATGCTATCATTCAAATTAAAATCTCTTCACATTTCAATTTTTTTCATACTTTCTATTTTTTAAATGTACACTGATAGGTGACTGTTTTTGATATAACACCTACATTTTCAGCACCAAAGAGCTTATCTGAGAATCCACCCCCACCCAGCAAACTCTGCAAGCTAACCCAGGCCTTTAATAAGACATTTTAATTTTCCAGATTTCAAGTATCAAAGATGCTATGTTTAATTGAATTTTTTTTAGCATTAAATAATGAACTCTCCCAGTTTGTGATATCATAGAAATAGAGCCATATGTATCACGTCCAGTACCATAGTTACGTATGAATGAGCAAGTCATTTAAGAATTAAATAAAGATGTACTCAAAATTATTAACTGAGATTTGTTTGACTAACTAATCAAACAAATGCTTACTACTATATTCAATTCATTGATCTTTGAAGAAGGATGTATTTATGTTTAAGTGCTATTATTTGAAACTTATTCATTGTGGAGAAGCTGGAAACAATGTTGGGTACAGAATAGTTTTTAATAACATTAGAGGAAATGATTAGCTTGGTAAATAAACTATGTTCTTAGCTCATTCCTGTCTCTTACTTCAGTTTACAGTATCATCAAAGCTGTATTTATGGACAGTTCTCATGAGAGCTTTGACCTTGAGTGTTAATTGCCAGTATAGTGTTTAAAGTCTTGGATCTGGCTCAATATAGCCATTAAGGTCTTGGATTGGGAAAATCCAGATTCAAGTCAGCACTTGATCATGGAGGTTACTTGTTGCTTTGGCCAAGTTACTGCCTTTCTATCTAATTTTTTTACAGCTTTCTCCACAGCTTTCTTCATTAGCATGAGAATTAATTTTAGTGGAGATTCCTGCGTATGTTGTTTTAAGCTCTCAACAAAAAATGTGGGATATAAATGTAGTTACTGTCAGTCAATCAATCTATCAAAATAATTAAGATTCAATGCAGGTAAAAATGTGTTTCTTGATATAGAGAATAGTTATCTTAGAATTGATGCCACAAGATGTGATGATGTCCTCTTAATTTAGATGGTCTTAATTTAGCTATTATTAGCTATTGTTTATGAAAGCTACACATGATTGCAATAACAGAGGTTATTGTCCTCACTTAGGCATTTAGTTTGGTCCCTGTGGCAACATGATATTGAATTAGATCAACTCAAGACTCATCCAGTCTGTTTACTACTCAAGAACATAATATGTTTATTTGTTCCTTTTTTTACCCAGATGGAAGATGTCATAGCTCGTATGCAAGATGAGAAAAATGGGATTCCTATTCGTACAGTCAAAAGCTTTCTCTCCAAGATTCCCAGTGTTTTCTCTGGTAAGATTCAAAATACAGCATGTGCTTCATTCAGTACTGGGAAAATACATGAGAACAATGATGAATTAGAAAATTGGTACAGATAAGTTTAAAAATAATGACTATAAGCCTGTAGTAATTTACAATGAAGCTTCATTAGCAGTACATTTTGTAAGTTCCATGCTGTGTTAGCATATTGTTTTACATTAGGACTGGATACTATGCTCCCCCTGCCCCCAGCAGTTTCTTCTTTGGAAGAAGATTTGGAGCTTCTCAGGAAGCCATGTGTTCCTGGAACATTAATATTGACAAGGGTCTCTTCTTCAGAAAAGAGAATAAAAAAAATTAAAAAGGTAAATACAACGAAGGAGTGACTGATCTTTTTGACAATGGATTTAAATGCATTTAGATTTTACCTTCTTTCTCTAAAGTTGCATCATAATTTCTTTCTTCCATTAGCTATTGTTTCTAACCATCAAACTTATAAATTGCAAACCCATTTTAATTTTTTTTCTCAGTAAAAAGTCCATAAGAAGTTTTCATTCACTTTTCTTATGCATAACCTATTTCTAAATAAATAAATTTATTATAAATAAATAAATATTAAATAAATAATATTTATTTATAAATAAACTTATCTAAATCTAAATCTATTTCCATTTCTCTTACTGTTGGCTATATATCTCTACTTTGTAAACTCTAGTAATCAAACTCTTAGTTATTTAAAACATACATATTTTTGAAAAATATCTATGGCTTTCAGAAAAATAACTTTCCATCATATTAAATATTTTTGCTAATTTAACTTGAGCCATTTTAATATTTTTATCAGAATTTTTTTGTGCGGACAAATTATTCTAATCTAATCTTCCATTAAACCCCAATTTCCATGTGGTTAATTAACTAAAATTGCTAATTATATTAGCTAATCCATAATTCCCTGTAAAATGTTACCTTATCCTCCTATATTCCAATTATCAAAGTCCTGGCCCCATGCAAAATAGCTTCAACCCTGACATATACATAATACTCAACAGTCAATTTCAGTTGGGGTCGTAATTGGTGGTTTATAGAGATGGTGAGATATCTTCTGATTTTATCTCTTTCCTTTTTATCTTTTCATGGAATAGATTACAGAAGGGTAGCATTAAGATAGGCAATTTGACTGAGGAAAGGAGCCTTATGGAAGGTGCCAAACAGATGTTACACAATATCTAGAATCTCCCATTCTTCATGTATTAATTGCATGATGATTATTATGGGTGATGGAGTGCAGCTCCTGTAGCTCCTCTAAACACACATTTCAACTTGATACATGAATCCTGGAGGAGAGGTAGAAAACTAGGCAACACCAGAGGAAGAACTTTGTATAAACCTGTTATCGTTTCTGTACCCAGAATTTTATTATGCAGTGGTTTGTAATGATTTTTGCAGAAAAATGACAATGAAGTTATTGGTGGATTGGGTTTGATGAAACAAAATGCCTTTTGTAATTTATTATACATCAAATCAGAGTCCATTTTCCCAAGAATATAGGAAATGTCAAGCACTTGGGAGAGAGATGTATTTCAGGCTTGGCCATAGTCATACTTTAATGCACACACATACACACAAACACAGTAACCAATTTGTCAGTGCAAAGTTTCATAGCATGTATTTCACACACTTGATTGTAACCCTAGTAGCTGCCTTTGCCCAGCCTTATTATGCAAAGTGATTATTATAATGTGACATATTTTTCATGGGAGTTTGAATTTAAGTAATTGGTATGTGTTTGCTGAACTTTTGTTGACCAGGAACAATTTCTATTTTAGTTGAATCAGAACTGAAATTAAATGCAAATGTAAAAAAAATACCTTATTTTTGGCTAGTGATGATATTAAACAATGGAATGCTATTCAATATTCTATGCCTCTGTTTTGGATTGTTTTATCTTTGCCAAAAAATCAGTAGCAAATCTGAAAATATAAAGTATCTAAAGGGGTTGATATAATTGCAGTCCAGAAGCTCAGTCATATTCTTCATCATTTGACATAATCAGATATAATCATATTGCAGAATAGATGTGTTCTTGACTGACACTGATTGAAAGTGGATATCAGTAATAAGGAAAGAAAGTTGATTTACATTCTCAAAGGTGGTGATTACAGAGAGAATGGCAGTTGGACTTACCTGAACTGCATGTTTCGAGGAAAGGTGTGGGAGGAGTAATAATTGGGTATTAACCAAGCCTTCTTGCCTATTGGAGACTGAGGTAATCTTTTGAAGCCACACCTACTGCTCTCCTCTGGCTTCCCAGATTAACCGATGGATTGTAGCAGCATCTGAAAGAAAGGACAAACAAGAACAGCCAACACATATCCTTCCTAACCGCTAAGGCTGAACCTGGGCTCGCTCAGGCCCCCTGGCACAGGGCGCCCTGAACGGGGGGGAAGTGACTCCTCCCACACCTTTCCTCGAAACATGCAGTTCAGGTAAGTCCAACTGCCAGTTTCTGAAGAGAAGGTGTGGGAGGAGTAACAATTGGGACATACCAAAGCTAGATGTACTGGGAGGGATTAGATGGGCCTGAGCCCCCTGGGGAGTCCAGGACTCCCTGTAGTCCCCTCCTGCCGAAGGCAGCCTCCGCAGAGGCGTAGGCGTCTACTCTGTAATGCTTAATAAATGGAGAAGGGGAGGCCCAGGCGGCCGCCCGGGATATCTCCTCTATGGGGCCTGAGTGGACCAGGCTGCTGAGGTGGCTGCACTTCTAGTGGAATGTGCAGTGATGCCCTCTGGGACCTGGAGTCCTTGTGCCCTGTAGGCCTGCGAGATGGCCGCTCTAATCCATCGACTGATGGTGGCCGGAGAGACCTTAGCTCCC